AGCCCGCAGCCGCGCGCAGCCCGCAGCCGCGCGCAGCCCGCAGCCGCGCGCAGCCCGCAGCCGCGCGCAGCCCGCAGCCGCGCGCAGCCCGCAGCCGCGCGCAGCCTGTAGCCGCACGCAGCCCGCAGCTGCGTGCCCTGCCCTACCTGTGCGCCGCCGCCTTGCCTTGTGCACTTCGTCGCCCGTGTGCCGCGCGTTCGCTCTAGCCGCGCGCCGCCCTTCGCGCCGCCCTCTCACTGACGCGGCCTCGCCCTGCTGCTGACGCCCTGTGGGACCCGCGCGCTGCCCTGCACCAGTGCAGCCGCCCCTGGACCCTTGAGCAGCCGCCCCTGGATTCAGAGCAGCCGTCCCTGGCCCCTGCAGCAGCCGCCCCTGGAGCAGCCGCCCCTGGAGCAGCCGCCCCTCCTCCGCGGCCTCGTCGCGCCCCCCCCCCCCTTCGCGGCCCTTCGCGGCCTCCTCAAGGCCCCTTGCGCCCCCCCCCTTCGCGGCCCCCTGCAGCAGCCGCCCCTGGCCCCTGGAGCAGCCGCCCCTGCAGCTGCCGCCCCTGCCCCTGGAGCAGCCGCCCCTGCAGCAGCCGTCCCAGGACCTCTGCAGCCGCCCCTGGCCCCTGGAGCAGCCGCCCCTGCAGCAGCCGCCCCTGCAGCAGCCGCCCCTGGCCCCTGGAGCAGCCGCCCCTGCAGCAGCCGCCCCTGGCCCCTGGAGCAGCCGCCCCTGCAGCAGCCGCCCCTGGCCCCTGGAGCAGCCGCCCCTGCAGCAGCCGCCCCTGGCCCCTGGAGCAGCCGCCCCTGGAGCAGCTGCCCCTCCCCCCCCCCCTCCCCCTGCAGCTGCCGCGGAGCCCTCGCCCTGCAGTGGTGCCGGCCTTGCCGTTGCAGCCGTCGTACGCCTACCTTTCTTGCCACTGGTGAGCACTGTCCTGCCCGTACTGCTGTTACTGCTGCTCCTGCTGCTACTGCTGCTACTGCTCTTTCTACTCCTACTGCTGCTAGTGCTGCTACTGCTGCTCCTGCTGCTACTGCTGCTCCTGCTGCTACTGCTGCTACTACTGCTCGTGCTGCTCCTACGGCTCCTCCCCTTTCTACTGCTACTGCTGCTCCTGGCGTGGCCAGATGCAGCTCCAGCGCCGTCCGCGTGAGTCCCTCACGCCCCCACAGCTTCATGAGTGGTACGCTCGTTGGGGTTGTCGGGGTGGCCGTAGTGGGAGTCGTTCTGGCGTGAGTAGTTTCGGGGCTTCTTGTAGTGGCCAGGTGCAGCTGCAGCGTCGTGTGCGCGCGGTCCCTTCGCCCCCGCAGCTTCATGAGTGGTACTTTCAGCGGGGGGGGTCACGGGGTTCTGCTCGCTGCCCGTACGTCATTCGCACTGGTGCTCGGACTGGCCAGCCTTGCGGGACGTTTGGTCACACAGAGTCCCGCTGCTTCGCCAGTCTGAGCGACGCCTGGCGTACAGAGTTTGGCGACGCGGCTGAGCTCCCCAACTGGGTCGAGCTGCTACGGCAGAGGGTAGATGTCTATGCTCTTGACTTTGATGCTATCCTCACTGCCATGTATGCATTGTCTACTAGTGATGCCGGTGACTGTTCCCTGAGTGTTCCGCCCGACCCGGGCGGTGCAGCTGCTGCTCTAGGTGCCAGTGAGTCTGCTGCTCCAGGTGCTAGTGAGTCTGCTGCTCCAGGTGCTGGTGAGTCTGCTCTCTCAGGTACCACGTCTGCTCCGGCGTCGCACACTTTCACCCTTGATTCGGGTGCTTCCCGCTCCTTCTTTCGAGACCGCACCACTCTCACGCCGCTCAGTCGGCCGGTTGCGGTCTCCCTGGCAGACCCCTCTGGGGGTCCTGTTCTTGCCCACTACTCCACTGTACTACCGTGTCCAGCAGTCCCGTCTGGCTCCCTGTCGGGTCTTTACCTCCCCTCGTTCTCTACGAACTTGGTGGCAGGTGCTGACCTACAGGATGGGGGGGTTGACCAGTTCACCCCTGCGCGTCAGCGAGTGACCCACTGCACGTGTGCAGAGACGGGCCGACACTTGGCCACGTTTACCCGTCGGCCGGGGTCGAGCCTGTACACCCTGACTACCGAGTCTCCTCCGGTTGCTGTGCCTGGTCAGGTAGCTGCGTCGGGTCAGGTGTTTGCTGCAGCGTCTCGGTCTGGTCCTGAGTCTGCCCCCTGCTCGTGTCGCCTCCTGTCCCACGAGACTCTTCTCTAACACCACCGTCTTGGTCACCCCTCCCTGCCTCGTCTCCGAGGCATGGCCTCTCGTGTCCTGGTCTCTGGTCTCCCCCGGTCTCTCCCTCCCCTCCCTCCGGGGCCTGCCCCTACCTGCGTTCCCTGCGTCGAGGGGTGGCAGCGCGCCGCTCCTCACTCCTCCGAGTTTCCGCCGACAGAGGCTCCGCTGCAGACTCTTCACATGGACGTGTGGGGCCCAGCCCGCGTCCGTGGACAGGGCCACGAGCGGTACTTCCTGCTGGTAGTTGACGACTACTCGCGTTACACCACAGTCTTCCCCTTGCGCCGCAAGGATGAGGTCACTGAGGTGTTGATCGACTGGATCCGCGCTGCTCGTCTCCAGCTCAGGCAGAGTTTCCGCTCTGACTTTCCTGTTCTGCGTCTGCACTCTGACAGAGGTGGCGAGTTTTCCTCCGGCCCTCTACGAGCCTTCTGTCGTGCGAGGGGCATCCGCCAGATGTTCACGCTTCCGGCCTCTCCGCAGCAAAATGGGATTGCTGAGCGCCGCATTGGCATGGTCATGGATGTCGCTCGCACGTCCATGATCCATGCGGCTGCTCCCCATTTTCTGTGGCCGTTTGCGGTTCAGTACGCGGCGCGTCAGATCAACCTCCAGCCCCGGGTCGCCACGCCGGACGCCTCCCCCACTCTGAGGGTGACGGGACAGGTTGGCGATGCGTCTGCGTTTCGTGTCTGGGGATCTCGGGCTTTTGTCCGAGACTTGTCTACGGACAAGCTGTCCTCCCGTGCTGTTCCCTGCATCTTCCATGGCTTCCCCCCTGACGCGCCTGGTTGGCAGTTTTACCACCCCACCTCGCGCCGTGTTCTGTCCTCCCAGGACGTCACGTTTGACGAGTCGGTTCCGTACTACCGTCTCTTCCCTTACCGTGCTGCCCCCCTTCCCCCCCCCCCCCCCCCCCCGCTCTTCCTTACGCCAGGTCCCCCCCCGGTAGACCCCCTCCCCCCTCAGGGTCCTGCTCCTTCAGGTGTGTCTCAGGTAGACCCCCCCCCCTTGGCTGAGCCTTTGGAGGTCACTTCCGACACCTCTGGCTCACCTGAGGGGGGTGACGTTGCTGCTGACGACTGCTGCCCCGGCAGCCTACCGCTGCGCACCACGCTTGGAGACCCCTCCGGGGTTCCCTCCGCGACCTTCTTCGCCGCCTCTGCAGCCGGTTACTGTTGACTCTGGTGCTGTTGGGGGTGGTGCTCCTGGAGGTGCTGCGTCTGGGGGTGCGGAGTCTGGGGGTGCTGAGCCTGCGCGTGAGGAGACTGGAGGTCCTGCGCCTGGGGGTGCTGTGTCTGGGGGTACTGAGCCTGTGTCCGCGGAGTCTGGGGGTGCTGAGTCTGGAGGTGAGACGCTTGAGGGTACTGGGACTGCTGGTGCACGGCCTACTTGGAGTGGCCGCCTTCGTCCGCGTGTGCCTCTCACCACTCAGCAGCTGCACGACTGGTACGGTCGCCGTCAGCGTCGCGCTGCTGGAGCCCGGGGCTCTGTATTGGAGGTACTGGAGCTGCTGGGGCTGGGGGTGCTGCGCCTGGAGGTGCCACTGCTGGAGACACTGAGGATGGCGACCCTGGGACTGGAGGTGCTGGTTCTGGGGGTGCTGCTGCGGGAGACACTGCGGTTGGAGACCCTGGGACCGGCAGTGCTGGTTCTTGGGGTGCTGCTGCGGGAGACTCTGCGGTTGGAGACCCTGGGACTGCAGGTGCCGGTTCTGGGGGTGCTGCTGCTGGTGGCACTGGCTCAGGAGCTGCTGGCGCTGGAGGTCCCGGTTCTGAGGCTGGAGCTTCAGGAGCTGCAGGAGGCACTGGAGCTGCTGGGGGTACTGGAGCTGCTGGAGCTGCTGGAGCTGCTGGAGCTGCCGGAGCTGGTGCAGCTGCACCGACACGACTGTTCTTCGCTCCGCCGTCTCCGTCGTCACTGCCACCATCTGACTCTGTTCTTCGTCAGGTTCTTACTCTCCCGTCGTCCACTGGTCTTCCGTTACCGCCTGGCTCACCGCTCCCTGCTCCTTCTCCCTACACTGAGCAGGCAGGCAGTCTTGCTGAGCGTCGTGAGCCTGCGTCGCGTCCTGTCTCGCCTGTTCATTCTGGTCGTACCGGTCGTCGTGTCGCTCGTGCGCGTCAGCCGGCTGTCCCCAGCGCACACCTTGTAGTCCGTCGTCCTTCCTCTGCTCCGCAGTCTGCTCCTCTGCCTTCCCCCCCTGCGTCCTCTCTGCCTGCCGTTCCGGACCCTGCGTCTGACCGGTTTCGTGCTGAGCACCCTACAGTCTCGAGACTTCAGTCAGCGGCAGGGAGTTGACTACTTTCAGACCTTCTCTCCCACCCCGAAGATGACTACTCTTCGGGTGCTGCTACACATAGCCGCTCACCGTGACTACGAGCTTCACTCTCTGGACTTCAGCACAGCCTTCTTACAGGGCAGCCTGCACGAGGAGATCTGGCTGCGCCGCCCACCTGGCTTCACTGGGAGGTTTCATCCTGGCACCCAGTGGAGCCTCCGGCGGCCAGTCTATGGTCTCCGCCAGGCGCCGCGTGAGTGGCACGACACACTGAGGACTACGCTTGCGGCTCTTGGGTTTGCTCCTTCTACTGCAGACCCGTCGCTGTTTCTACGCACCGACACCTCCTTGCCGCCGTTCTACATCCTCGTGTACGTCGACGACTTGATCTTTGCTACTGCTGACACTGCTGGACTCGCCCACGTGAAGTCCGAGCTGCAGAAGCGACACACGTGCACAGACCTGGGTGAACTGCGCAGCTGAGTCTGTTGGCGCTGCTTCTACTCCTGGTGGGAGGCGCCGCACCGGCAAGGGCAAGGGGGGCAAAAGTGGTGGTGGTGGCACTGGGGGGGGAGGAGGTGGGGGAGGTGGGGGGGGAGGCGGTGCTGGAGGGAGCGGTGGCGGGAGCGCTGGTGGGAGTGGGGTCGGTGGTGGAGACGGGGGCGGCGGAGGAAGCAGTGGCAGTAGTGGCGGCGGCGGCGGTGGCGGCGGTGGCGGTGGTGGCGGTGGTGGCGGTGCCGGTCGGAGCGGTGGTAGTGGTGGCGGCGGAGGTCGGAGTGGAGGCACTGGCTCGGGCCAGAGCTCCCAGCAGCAGCAGCGTCCCCAGACGACCCAGCAACTTCGTGAGTGGCTTGCTCAGCGTGGGACGTCGGGGGCCAGTGCCCGCTGTTCTTATGTCATTCGCACAGGTGACCGCAAGGGACAGACGTGTGGGAGGTTCCACACCCCGTACCGCTGCTTCTCCCGCCTTGACGACGCTTGGCGTGAGGAGATGGGTGCGGATGTTGAGCGCCCCCGCTGGGCTGAGCTCATGAGGGCTGGTGTTGATGTCTTTGCTCTTGACTATGATGCTATTATTGCTGCCATGTATGCATTGACTGTTAGTGCCGAGGGAGACTGTTACTTGTGTGTGCCGCCTGACCCAGGTATAGAGCCCGCTGCCCTGGGTACTAGTGAGTCCGCTCTCTCTGGTATGGTGCCCCCTGTACTTGCTCCCCCCAGTGCTGTCCCGGCTGGTTTCGAGTCTGCTCTCTCAGGTACAGCACCCACAGAGACACCTCTCTCAGGTACCGCACCGGCTGAGGCCTGTCACACCTTCACCCTTGACTCAGGTGCTTCCCGTTGCTTCTTCCGTGACAGTACTGAGCTCACACCGCTTCCTGCACCGGTCCCAGTCTCCTTGGCTGACCCCTCTGGGGGCCCAGTCCTTGCCCAGTCCACCACTGTCCTCCCTTGTCCGGCGGTTCCGTCTGGCTCGTTGTCGGGTTTCCACCTCCCCTCGTTCTCGACGAACCTGGTGAGCAACGCTGTCCTCCAGGATCAGTGGGTTGACACCTTTACCCCTGGCGGACAGCGTGTGGCGATCTGCACGTGCTCCAGGACCGGCCGTCACCTGGCTACGTTCACCCGTCGGCCGGGGTCGAGTCTCTACACACTGACCACTGCGTCTCCCCAGGTAGCTGCTGTCGGTCAGGTGTCTGCGTCAGGTCTGGTGGCCCACGCCTGTGAGTGTCGTTCCCTGTCGCACCAGACTCTTCTCTGGCACCACCGCCTGGGTCACCCCTCCTTGCCACGCCTTCGTGGCATGCACCGTCGCCTCCTTGTGTCCGGTCTTCCCAGGTCCCTCCCTCCCCTCCCTGCCTCGCCTGCGCCGCCTTGCCTTCCTTGCGTCGAGGGGCGGCAGCGCGCCGCCCCTCACTCCTCCTCGTTCCCCCCGACAGAGGCTCCTCTGGAGACCCTCCACCTGGACGTGTGGGGCCCAGCCCGCGTTCGTGGTCAGGGCGGTGAGCGGTACTTTTTGCTGGTTGTCGACGACTACTCGCGTTACACCACGGTCTTCCCCTTGCGCACCAAGGGTGAGGTCCCTGCTGTTCTGATCCCTTGGATCCGCACGGTTCGTCTCCAGCTCCGCCGCCGTTTCCGGACGGATCTTCCTGTCCTGCGTCTGCACTCTGACAGAGGTGGTGAGTTTTCCTCCGACCTCTTGAGGACCTTCTGTCAGGCGGAGGGCATCGAGCAGACCTTCACGCTTCCGGACTCCCCACAGCAGAATGGGGTTGCTGAGCGCCGCATTGGCCTGGTCATGGAGGTCGCTCGTACCTCCTTGGTCCACGCGGCGGCTCCCCATTTTCTGTGGCCGTTTGCTGTCCGGTACGCCGCGCATCAGCTCAACCTCTGGCCCCGTGTCTCCTTGCCGGAGACCTCGCCCACACTGCGTTGGACGGGGGAGGTTGGCGATGCGTCGCGCTTCCGGGTGTGGGGTGCTCGTGCCCTTGTCCGCGATACGTCCGCGGACAAGCTCTCCTCCCGCACGCTTCCCTGTGTCTTCCTTGGCTTTGTCCCTGACGCGCCTGGCTGGCAGTTTTACCACCCCACCTCGCGCCGGGTCTTCGCCTCTCAGGATGTCACCTTTGACGAGTCGGTCCCTTTTTACCGTCTCTTCCCCTACCGCACTGCCCCCCTCCCTCCCCCGCCGCTTTTCCTTGCTCCTGGTCCCCCTCCGGTAGACCCCCTTCCCCCTCAGGGTCCTGCTCCTTCAGGTGTCTCTCAGGTAGACCCTCCTCCCGTCGCTGAGCCTGTCGAGGTCACAGGTGACTCAGGTGCTGCTGCGGGTGGTGCTGCTGGGAGTGCTGAGCCTGGAGGTGCTGAGCCTGGGGGTGCTGGGCCTGGGGGTGCTGGGGCGGCAGGTGCTGGGACTGAGGGTGCTGGAGCTGAGGGTACGGTGCCTGAGAGTACGGAGCCTGGGGGTGCTGAGCCTGGGGGTGCTGAGCCTGCGGGTGCGGGGCCTGGGAGTGCTGGGACTACGGGTGCTGGAGCTGAGGGTACTGTGCCTGAGAGTTTGCCGCCTGGGGGTGCTGAGCCTGGGGGTGCTGCGACTGGGGGTGCTGAGCCTGCGGGTACTGAGCCTGCGGGTACTGAGCCTGGGGGTGCTGCTACTGAGCCTACGGAGCCTCGGGTTACTGCGTCTGGGGGTGCTCCGGTTCGGGGTGCTGAGCAGTCTCTCACACCGCAGCAGCTTCGCGACTGGTACGTCCGACGCTTTCGCCGTCCTAGTGGCTCGGCTGGAGTTTGGGGTGCTGGAGCTGCTCGTCCTGGGGGTGCTCGTACTGGGGGTACTGGAGCTGCCGGGACTGGCTGTTCTGGGAGCACTGTGACTGGAGCTGCTGGAGCTGGGGACTCTGGCGCTGGCGGTGCTAGCGGAGTTGGAGCTGCCGACTCTGGGGGTGGCGCTGCTGCTGGTGCTGCGGACCCACCTGGTGGAGCTGCTGCTGGTGCTGAGGAGTCGGACGGTGGAGCTGCTGCTGGAGCTGTGGACCCGGACGCTGGAGCTCCTACTGGTGCTGAGGACCCGGCCGCTGGAGTCCCGTCTGCTTCTGGAGACGCTGCGCGGCCGCGACCGTACTTCGTACCGCTCCTTCAGCAGGTTCTTGGGCAGGCTCCTCCTCCTTTTCCTCCTCCCTCCGTAGAGTGTCCTCCGCCTGTCCAGCCGCAGTCACAGTTACCGCCTGCCTCGCCTCTCCCTGCTCCCTCTCCTTATACTGGTCCCACAGGAGGTCTTACAGAGCGTCGTGAGCCTGAGTCTCGTCCTGCGTCGCCTGTTCGTCCTGCTCGCACTGGTAGTCGTGTCCGTCGTGAGCGTCCTCCTCCTGTCCCAGGCACTCACTACATGACTCTGCGTCCCTCTACTGCTCCTCGGCGTGTCCCTCTACCGTCTCCTCCTGCGTCCTCTTTGCCTGCCGTTCCGGACCCTGAGTCTGACCGGTATCGCGCTGAGCACCCTACAGTCACGCGTCTTCTCGCCACTGTTGTCACTGACCCGTCGTTTGAGTCTGCTGCTGCGTCTGCCCTGGTCGCTGAGCTTGTCGACTTTGCTGCTGCCTGTCGTCTAGACTACGCCGCCAGTCTTGTTACTGAGTCTGAGTCTGTCTGTCCTCCGTCCGTCGGGGGTGAGTGTGCTCTTGGCACGGACGTCCTTGAGGACAGGCAGGAGGACTTTGACTCTCTTGCGGCTGCTGTACCTCATCTCGTGGCCTGGTTGCTTGCCCCTGAGGGAGACCCGGATGCATTAGACATCCCGACTCCGCGCACTTACGCAGAGGCGATCTCGGGTCCCTACTCCTCTCAGTGGCAGACAGCCATGGACGCAGAGATGGCATCCTGGAAGTCCACAGGCACCTACGTCGACGAGGTTCCCCCTCCTGGGGCGAACATCGTCGATGGCATGTGGATTTTCAGGGTGAAGCGGCCGCCAGGTTCTCCGCCTGTCTTCAAGGCTCGTTACGTTGCTAGAGGCTTCAGTCAGCGTCAGGGGGTCGACTTCTTCCAGACCTTCTCCCCCACCCCGAAGATGACCACTCTTCGGGTTCTGCTGCACGTTGCTGCTCAGCGTGACTACGAGCTTCACTCTCTTGACTTCAGCACAGCGTTCCTGCAGGGCAGCCTGCACGAGGAGATCTGGCTGCGTCGCCCACCTGGCTTTACTGGGTCGTTTCCCCCTGGTACCCAGTGGAGTCTCCGCCGGCCAGTCTACGGTCTCCGCCAGGCGCCACGTGAGTGGCACGACACACTGAGGACTACTCTTGCGGCTCTTGGGTTCGCGCCGTCTACTGCTGACCCGTCACTGTTTCTGCGCACAGACACGTCGCTACCGCCGTTCTACATCCTCGTGTACGTCGACGACTTGGTCTTTGCTACTGCTGACACTGAGGCACTCGCTCGTGTGAAGTCGGAGCTGCAGAAGAGACACACCTGCACTGACCTGGGTGAACTGCGTAGCTACCTTGGCTTGCAGATCACCCGGGACAGAGCTCGCCGCACCATCACCCTGACTCAGTCACACATGGTGCAGCAGGTCCTTCAGCGCTTCGGCTTCCAGTTCTCCTCACCACAGGCCACACCTCTGGCTACCAGCCACTCGCTCTCAGCTCCACCTTCGGACGAGTCCGTAGAGCCGAGTGGCCCGTACCCAGAGCTTGTAGGCTGCCTCATGTACCTGATGACTTGCACGCGACCTGACCTCGCGTACCCTCTTAGCATCCTTGCTCGTTACGTTGCGCCTGGGAGACACAGGCGAGAGCACTGGGAGGCTGCTAAGAGGGTGCTGCGTTACCTGTGCAGTACATCAGGCATGGGGCTGGTGCTTGGAGGACGCGACAGAGTTGTCCTCACTGGTCACTCGGACGCCTCTTGGGTGGACGACCTGGCTACGCAGCGGTCGTCACAGGGTTACACCTTCAGCCTTGGCTCAGGTTCTGTCTCGTGGCGGTCCACCCGCTCTTCCTCTGTTCTCGGCTCTAGTTGTGAGGCTGAGATCTACGCCACAGCCATGGCTGCACAGGAGTTACGCTGGCTCACCTACCTGCTGACTGACTTGGGAGAGCGGCCTAGTTCTCCTCCAGTTCTGTATGGTGACAACAAGGCGGCTCTTGCCTTGTGTCAGGAGCACAGACTGGAGCACAGGACGAAGCACATTGCTCTTCGCTACTTTCTTGCTCGAGAGCTTCAGCAGCGCGGTCAGCTTCGGCTTGTGTACGTGGACTCGAAGGCCAACACTGCTGATATCTTCACCAAGGCGCTCCCGCCTAGTGATCATCAGCGGCACTGTACTTCTTTAGGCCTTGTGTCCACGTTTCCTCACTTGCTCACTGCTTGACATTCTTTGTACTGTACTTTATATATATCTTGTTGCTTGCTTGCTAGGTTTTGATCACTGTGTTGCTTGTCTTGTACTATATCTAGCACTGCATGTGAACTGGCCTTGTGGCCTTTACTTGTGCTCGGAGTGTGGTGACATTGTGATCCACCCTGGGCTTTGCTTTGCTTTGCTGGACTGGTCTTGTGACCCTTTGTTCTCCCCCACTTTGCCTATGGGGGTGTGTTAAACTGTATTATGCTTGTAGGCTGTAGTGGGGTAGCCAATATGGGGTACAACCCCAACTAGGGTTTCATATTTGTACCCAAACTTCTGCTAGTTCATTCATTCTTGCCTAGTGATTCTGAGAGCAACTGCAACGTGGGGACTAGCCCTTCCTCGTCTTACAACTTCCTCCACAGATCCTGGACAAGTACAGCCTCTGTCTTCTGGCACCACTCCTGAGGTTGGAGAAATCTCCCACGTGTCTCGGTGCGTGGAAGGTTCTGTTGTTCCTGCCACGGCTGACTCTCCGACCCATACCTGAACCGATTACTGGGGGCCGCTGGGCACGAATCAAGGCTCGGGTGCATAGATTTCAGCAGGGGCAGTGGGACAACCTCTTCGAGGAAGCCGACATCATCCCCGGTACTGAGGCCCCGCTACGACACCAACCTGATGACGAAGGGATTTGTGCACGCGCGGAGGGACTTATGAAAAAAGGGAATATTTCTAAAGCGGTAGCCGCGTTACGCACCAGCCCTCTCGCCGAACCTACCTCGGCAACCCTCGCTGCACTCCAAGCGAAACATCCACCTGCCGCGGACAACATCCCGGCGTGGGTAACCGGGATAGCAACCTCTGAGCTGACAGTCCCGATCGATGCACTCCGCGAAATCCTGGCGAGATGCGCAAACGGGGTGGGAGCAGGGCCCACGGGAATGTGTTTTGAGCACCTGAGAGATCCAGCACTGGCTAACGAGGAGATTTTTATCCTACTCACTAAGACGGTCAATAACCTCCTTAGTGGCTTCCAGTCCCAGGAGCTGCGAGACCTTATCCTCCCCTCGCGCCTGATAGCTCTAGAATAACCAGGGGGAGGAGTTCGGCCTATCGCCATTGGCGAGACTCTGCTCCGCGTCGTAGCGAAAGCAGCACTTTACTCGCTTGGCCCAAAGATTCGCGAGTTCTTTTTACCGGTCCGATTTGGAGTGGCTATCCCGGGAGGAGCGGAGTGCATCATACATTCGGTCAGAGCGCTACTTCAGGAGGACAAAGCACGGATCGCGATGCAGCTAGATATAGAAAATGCGTTCAACAGTGTTGAACGCCGAGCCTTTTTCGAGGCGCTGCAGTGGTCCAACCTCAGCCCCTTAATTCCTCTAGTCCGGAACCTCTACGACGGCCCGTCGAGGCTAATGGTGGACCAGCGTTTCGACACCGACCACATCATCAGCTTCCGGGGGGTTCGGCAGGGCGACCCGCTTGGCCCACTCCTGTTTGCAGCGGCAATCCAGCCGGCCCTGCTGAGCGTGACCACGACATTGCCGGAGGTGGCGGTCGTCGGCGCCGATTGTCGGCCCACGGGAGGCCACCTTCCTCGCCTGTAACACGATCGCCACGGCCTTGGAAGCATGTGGACTCCGTTGCAACGTCACCAAATCATCGGCCAGGGGGAGGGACGCAGGCGAGCAGCAGGATGAGCTACCACTTGGGCTGACCATGAACCCGGGAGGCATCAAAGTGTTAGGCAGCCCGATCGGTACTGCCGGCTTCTGCACTGACCATGTCAGAGCCGCATTGGGCGAGGCAGCTTCACCACTACTCCTCATCTCGCAACTAGACTCGCAGCACGCGCTCCTCATGGTCTCACGCAGCATCTCCCGGCGAATCTCGTACATGCTCCGGACGACGCCGGCGTCG